GGTTTTGTAGGCCAATTATAAATATTATTATTTAGGTACAAAATTAATTAGTAAAAAATATTCTGTTCAATATCATATTCTAAATGCTAGTAACGTAAAACTGTCAACTCAGGTAGTCAAAAGGATCATCTTGTAAGGAACACTTTGTAACATTTTCAACTTTGACCAAAAAAAAAAATCTTATTAATTTGACTTACAATGAATATGTCTGCAAACAAAATATCGAATTAAATTTTTTTTCGTAATTTATCTTTTTAGTCATTTTTTCTGACTTATTAGAAATCATTAAGTATTTTAAATTGTATTTTTTAGAGAAGAATATTTATCAACAATTATTTTAGAAATAACGATTACATTTGATTGGTGACGTAATATTTTATAAATAATGTAGATTCGATACTTATAAATTATAAGCATTCGTATAAGTTATAACTCATTTTTTTTTCACATTCCAAATAATATTTTAATGAGATTTGATATTAAGGTTATCTACTAAGCCTGCTATGCACTATGGTCGTGCCACAGAAAATTACATCAAAATATATTAGGAAGATTCTATTTCCTATAGTAATTATATAAGTATTTGAAAAGTTGAATCGTTTTTATTTGTTAAGTCCATTTTAAATTGTTAGTCTGAAAAGAAAACATAAAAGACGAACTAATATATAGATAGGTAATAAGTATGTCACCTATAGAAAGGTACTATATTATTATATGGGTACGTGCACCATCGTATACCTATACTTATACATGTGAATTGGAAACTGTTTGAATCGCTCACGTCGACTGAATTATTGGTGCCCTGGACCCGAAATCATCGACGAGAAAAAAGGTATATATATATTATATACATACTCATTAATACATGATAGGGTAGAATAAATGACACAGTGCACGTGGGGAGGGGTGACGCTGTGGTCGGAAAAGGTTTTTCAATGTGAGTGTGCTTATAGTTCGATTGATCGTACGATATATATACAAAAGACGCAGTAAAGAAAAAGAGAAACGCTAAAAAATACGGTGGGTGGCGGTGGCTGGAGGGAATAATGTATAAAAAAGAATCGATGGGGTTGGCCACGCCGAGGCTTTCTTCTTTTCTCTGCCGTCACCCCGTGTTTCAGGTGCCTTTGTGTGCGCAGCGCACCACCGCCTTTTCCACCACCACCACCACTACCACCCACACACACTTACACACACACACTCGTAGACTTCCGGTCGGAAAAAGATGGCGCCCGGATGGAGAGTTTTCTTGTACGGTTGTTTTTGCCACCGCCACCGCCACCACCACCGACCACAACCTTATTGTTCCGATGTAAAGGGGAAGAAGCACGTATATAATATATGTATGAATATAGTGCAGTGTATGTGTGTATCTGAGTTGAGTGTGTGTGTGGAGAGGAAAAGGCCGGAAAGAAAACCACACAATCGTCGACCACATTCCACCTCTCAGTCTGATCCAAATCATAAAATAATAGGTATACACTAAACACACCGAACGGTCGCCACTGTTGTAGAGACGATGCGAAAGACGACTTTTATTACATTTTACTATTGGCACATAAAAACAATCGTTACAATAATGCAAACGTTTTTCTACATGGGTAATGGGTACATATATAGGTAGGTGTTCATCAATTCTCATCGTGTAATCTATACAGCAGTGGCGTAGCAAGGGGAGGGGCTGAGAGGGCTACAGCCCCCCCCCCGAAAAAAATCCTGGCTACGCCACTGCTATACAGTATTACAGTGTGAGTTTATACCTACTACCTATCAATTATTGAATTATCAATACACAAATAACGAATCTGCATAGTTAGGTGTCGTAGGTATTGTATTGTGAATGCATAACATATATTAACATGTTTGCACGTAATAATGGTATATTATTTCTCGAAGATTAGGTATGGAAACAAAGTTCTGCTGTGCGTCGAGTCGATGACATAATGTGCATTACGTACACTTTATTATTATTATTATTATATTACAATATATTGCACCAGTAAGAAGATATTTGCATTGTAATATCAATGTATGCGTATAGGTTTTTAAAATAATAAAATTAAATTTCATCGTCCACAAAGTAACTAAACACTGGGGAATTCGATCGATTTCATTGCACGTATAAGGTGATTTTCATTTTAGTTTACGAAACGGGCGAGTTAGGTAATTAAAAGTAATAAATATTAATTTGAAAGTACCTATCAACGTTTATGATTATTTTTGGCGCTATTTTTGGTTTTTGGTTGATTACAGGGACGGAGTGCGAGAGCCGGAAGATTACAATTTATCAAGGCCGTGCAACATATTTCTCCAATATTAAAAGCGAAAATTGTTCTTGCTCAGCTCCAATTCAATATTTATATTTATTTTTTAGAGCCTACAAAAATACATAAAAATTATTTATTTTTATAATTGTATTTTAACTTTTATTAGCAATAAATTAATTCAAACATTATTTTGTCGAACTTTTGTACCTATAAACCTACTATTGTAGGTAGGTACCCATAAAATAAAATGTATTTAATAGGTAGTTTAAATCAATGTTATATTCGTCATAAAATATGGTGTATTAAAGGTTTTGGTATAGTAACAAATATACGTTTGTAATGAATAAATATTATAAGTATATTAATTAAATGGGTAACAATAATAAACTAAAATATTATTTCAGTGTTATGTTATAAGATATGCATACTATGTAGGTGTTACATTTTATAAAATAAACCCTGTTGGTTATAAAAATATAACATATAAATATAATAGTATACCTTGTACAGTTGTACTTAGTGTACCGTTAATTTTCAGTGTGCAGAATGTATAATAATATTTTAGATGATATAAAAATGATAGTTGATTATTAGAATAATAGAAGTGTACAATTTAACTTACTATTTTTTTCGTAATTAATATTACTTATGTCTTATAACATAGATCGAGACAGCTGATTTACAAAATGATGATTTAAATTTATAAATATTATGCTATTGCCTATATATCCCAATAATAAATGTATTCAATCTATAACATATTTACTTCATATCCTTAATTACCCTCATCTCTCTTCCTCTTTATTCATCTCATATAAGTCCCTTTTAAATCATAAATGCTATGCTCTCCTTTCAATTACTTCCTACAAATATAGATCTACTGTCTCATTTTTCAATCAGAATAGTCTTTTTATATTTCAAACTTGTAAAGGTATACCTACTATTCTAAATAATTTATTGTAACTTAAAAATCTTTGTATGTACATATTTTAACTTTCGAATAACTGTAGGTAATCAAATATATTTTGGAGCCAGAACAGAAGTATTGGCACCATAGTTCCTTCTCCGGTCCTCGGTACCACGGGAGAAAATAAAAAGTAATCAAATATAATTATAATTAATTCAAAACAAAATCATTTGTATTAAAAACAATAATTATGGTTGTCAGTGTTAAGTATATATTACCTAATATTTTTACAATTGTATTAAATTTCAATATATTTTCATCCCTGATTAATGTTTATACAAGTTACTATAGTACCTACCTCGGTAAAATACGATTGATAGAACGGTACGATTGAGAACGCTCGATATTTCATCTTTTTTCCAACGTTGCCAAATTTAATTTAATGATAATTTATTGATATTGAATAAGCAATATATTATGTTAATTGTTCTTAAAATTTTAACTGAAACTCAAGCATAATGAAAAAAACTACGATTGTTAGAGTCAAGGTACTAAGAATAATATGTCTATGCCCTATGCATAGGCCTGCGCACGGGGCTAACCATTTATTATCCTTAGTATGAATATTTTAATTGTTTTAACAATTATTAATTGATGACTTTTTTCAAGAATACCTATTTATTTTATGCATAAGGGCATGAACTTTTCAATAGCCAAATAAACTATATTATGGCAACGTTGTACGTAAATTCGTTCTCAATCGTATTCTTTTTTGGGTTTTTTTTTGGGTCAGCACTCAGCGGCATGTTCTTTGTTATTTTAAAGTTTTTTCAATCGTTCGGCCAAAAAGGTATAGCGTTCTCAATCGTTCGATACCTAACTATATATCTTCTAATATACCTAATTAGCTTAAAACGTTTCTTCAATTACCTTTTATAATATTCCCGTAAAATAAAATCATTTTAATAATACATTTTATATCAAGTTGAATAAATAAACGTATTAATACGCCAATATTGTAATTAAATAGCTTAACAACATTATATATTATTCTATAAGTACCTAATAAAGTAAAGTTTACAAGCCAGCAATTTCGGTTTCAGTACTTTGTTCGGAACAAAGGCTTATAAAGCAGTTTCTTTGAAATTACTAGGAAAAAATGTAAACATAATTTGTTATGCACATTATATACGCGTCTAAGTCAATAAATCAATCATCGATGCATAGAAAAGGGTTAAACTGTATACCTACGTACATCGTATTTGTTTGAAATGTACATACATAAATATAATTTAAAGCTATACGTCATCACAGACCACAAAATATACGAGCTTTCGGTTAATCGACAATAAATATCTATTTTATTCGAATATAATAATAATATCATAACACGTTAATGTAGGTACCTATATAATATGCGCAATACAAAATTACGTGTTTGCGTCGAATCGGAGAAACCAGGTGATAGTGAGGACAAAAGCTAGTCAGCGTGTGTGTGTGTGTGTGTGTGTGTGTGTGTGTGTGTGTGTGTAATTAAAATATTATTGATATAGATTTATTCGGGGCGTACGAAAACAATTTATAATATTAAAAGAGAGCAGACGCGAGAGTCGTGTGCGAAGAACACCAGCTCAATTGGGGGGGAGGGGAGGCGTAGGTGCGAGCGTTGGCCGACGGGCGGTAGAATGCGGCGTGACGTCCGGATCATTATAAAGATGAATTGAACTAGAAAGTTAATTGATGAGACGCGAGCGCCTGAGCGCGCGTTTTCGGCAGAGGAGAAACCCGGGTGCTATACGTGTATATACGTATATACAAGCGGCGTAATGAAGAAAGATGACATGCCCAAGAACAGCAGTGGCAGCGTCGTGGGGGTAGTGGTTGATGGTTGGATGTGGGGTGGGAAGTGGGGGGAGGGTGTAATTAGAAAAGAAAATGACGAAGAAGAATTTACGGGCGAAACGGACACGGAGACCAATCCAGCGGTGGCGGTGGCGGCGGTGAGGTTTAACGAAGCGCAAAAAACGGCGTCGTCGGAGAAAAGCGCTTTTTCAAACAGCAGAGGACTGGATATAATATGATATTATTATTTTAGCTATATACGGCTAAAACAGACTCAGTAGAGCACATAGAAAAATATATCTAGGTATAAAGTCAGAGAACTAAGCCTCCCGATTATTTATTTATATAGTATAAGTGTATAACCCGCAACGATTGCTCGATACAATATATTATAATGTATAACGTAGAATACAATACACTTTCTCACACACTTATTAAGCATTGAAATATTTAAATTATAAAATAATTAATTAATTAAAAAAATATTGTTTATTCTCAGCTTAATTATATAAACTATATAATAGTAAATTATAAATTCTTATTGCGATATACTGGTATTATTAATTCCATTTTATATATAATAGTGTGCTTATACAGTTTTACAAATCGTATCGGAAAAAAATTATATTTTAGACATATTTATTGAGAAACCTTTGAATCATTTTATGAAGTAGTAATTGATCTTCTGCTTGTCCAAGCATTCCTCCTATCAGTGCCATCGAACGGACTGCGACGTTGATTTGAATAAGTAGTCAAAAATCCAAGTGAAATAGACAAGTAGGGCATAACCGAGAACGATAGCGTTATGTGTACATAATATTATTATTATTTATTACAAGTATATTGATCGAAATCGCATGCAGATTTGTATGAGATTGGTGTTATATTTATTAAAGTGTTGTTTTATATTTATACACCAACTACCACGTACCGATTACGTCGACGTGCTCGAAGTGCGCGGAAAATGATATCGACCTACGAAGGAATAGACACTACAAGAATTATATTATATTACTATACAGTAGTCATGGGGTTTTTGTGGGTATCAAGAAAAAAAAGTCCGTAAAAGGACACAGAAACGGATTTAAATGTAAATTTATTTACACTCCTTTTACCGACGACTGTGTACATTATGTACCCACCTCACCGCGAGCAGCTTCACGCGAAAAGTAATTTGCCTTTTTCCGCCTGCGGGGCAGCGTCTATGACTATAATAATAATAATAATAATATAATACAACTGCGACGACGACGACGATGAACGGCTTATGATTATTATTATTATTGTAACTGCAATGTGTATATATATATATATATAGTATACGTATGGATGTATAAAAGGGAGTTTCCGTCGTACGGGGCGAGAAGGGAAAAAAACCGTTCAAAAGTTTTAAGTAGATAAGGGAAAGCAATAATAATAATCGTTAGGAAAAAAAACGGGTTTTGTCAGTATAGAAAGGGTAAAAACGATAAAACCGCAACGGCATATAGTAGTGTGCGAGACTTAGAGAGAGGGAGGGGTGGAGTGAGGAAGAGTCAGAGAGAGGGAGGGTAAGAGAAATGTAATGAGGGAGTGTATTTGGAAAAACGATTTCACGCAATCGCGTTTTAAACTTTATATATTTTGTATAGGTACCTACACAGCTAAATGTTATAAAATATTCACGGTCCCGCCGTTTTAAAATTTATTTTATTAATATTATATTATGATATGCCTAGACATCACTGTAATTATTATTGGCAAACATAATATTATAATATCATAACATGGCAATTCTTTTTACAATTAATTGTTTCGCTGTTTCTTGTTATAATGATTATTATGTTTCAAATGGTCTCTGATCTCTGTACATGTATAATAATATCATGTTTATCACCCCGAACTGTGGCCGTTGCAGTTACGACGACGAAAGTCGTGTCGGTTAACCACATTACACGCGTGTGTGTACACGGTGGTTTCACACGGTGCGGCGTACGCCCAATAACTATACTACTAATTTATATACAATTAACGTCGTTAGAATAATAAAAGTCACTTGTAAGGTGTTATGAAACATTATTAATCGTTTGTAAGACAAGTGTTTTTGTTTGCTTAAACAAATTTATAATGTCATCAAATTTTAGACCCACGATGCCCACCACTCAATAGGTCACTCTATACATTTTATTATAAACACATACAAATATAATATAACACCTGATTTAAACTCAATATATTATCAAGGAATTTGTAATTAATATTTATTTTGTGATACCGATCACAAAGAAAATGTCGTGTTAGTTGTTAGTTCAATGTTAATAAATAGTAATAAAAAAACAAACAATATTCACAAAAGATTATTGTTAAGATGATTGATTTAATACTATTAAAACCCCTTCCCCCATGGGCGTTATTAAACAATATTTTTTTTTTCTTAATACTTTTATATGCATACCGAAGAAGAAACAGCTAGTCACTTACCTGCCAATCGTTTCTACCAATCATCAATTCAAAGTTATCCCAATCCTCTTACGAAAAATTAGCTGAAAAACCAATAATAATATATTATACTACTACCCCCCATCGAAAGCGTCGATGATCAGTCAGTTTTATTTCATGTAAGTTCAAATTTATCGACATTACCCTCATGGTCTCATCGCATACGCATAATGTATAATTATACACTTATACAGTTATACTTTTATGTTGTATAGATAGTATATCTCTTTATAAAAAATATATTTATTATAAAAAAAATATCTTTTTTTTTTTTTCCAGTTTTCAACCGACGGCGCCACGGAAACTGCTTTCGCATTCTTCCGCGACGCCGCATAAAAAAAATATCTAACGATTATAAATATTACTAATATAGAAATATTCGACACAAAGAGTAAAAGGTTATCAAAAATATTTGAAACTACAATTGTTCATTATTAATACATTATTGAAGTCGATATACACAATGCCTATCATAGTCAGAAATATACAAGTAAATCGACAGGTAATTTAAAATCATCATTTTTTTTATTATATACATATTTATTACAATATTCATCAAGTTGAACAATATAATATAAAATATACCTCACTACTACATTTTCAATCTAAATATTTTCTGCTTAAGCTGAGTAAAAAATTGTCAAGCTACACTGTAGGTAAATTATAATACCTACCTAACCTTATGTCAGGTCATTTTTCATCTATTAATATTGTACTTATAAATATTATATACATAACTCAATAGATCATAGTTAATTATGAAATATAATTTTTTTTTTAGTTGAAGTTTGTGAAGATTTCTCATTAAAATATGCATTAAATTAAAACGCTAACATACAGAGTATACTAAGATGTAATATATAAATCCAAATTAACTGCCTACTATATAATTTAAAGAATATTTATTGGAGTTGTTTATAAGAACAACGCTATAAGGTGGTAGGTACGGAGGAGGAGTAGAGGAGGAGTACGGTATGGAGGAGTATGAGATTTATTTTAATTAAACACTTAAAGTTTTTCAAGTAGGTAGAAAATAAATTTTGGAATTTAAATTTAAAAATAATGGCATCTACCAGCAATATAAAATTACGTAAGCGTCCGCCGCAGTTCAAAGATTATAAAATATAATAGGTACTTTACACAATAATAATATGTACTAATATATGAATTGATCGAGGTACAATGAATATTATATTTTTAGCACGTATATTTATATTTTGAATACATTTGAAATAAATTAACGTTAATATAATAAATATAAGTGATATTACGAACCATGATTTTGAAAAGAAACTGCACCTATGCTGAACTTTTTGATCCAAGCCGATCAGGACTATTCTAATATTATTTCGAATCCGATCTGAACTCTTACAAATTACAACGGAATACATTCTTCAAGTATTTACTGTTCTTCATTTACAATGCAGTACGTATATTGATTTTATTGACGAACAAAACTACATTAGATTTTAGGTTTGATTCGAATATTTGTAATTTTCAGTATGTTTCATCAGTTAAAATAAACCCTTTTATATACTAGCTAATAATTTACTTGGAATCATGTGAATTCATATTTAACAACCGCATTAGTCGCATCATCACTATATAGAGTAGCGTTGAAATTGTCACAAACCTTAAACGTCTTCTATAAAGTTGTTTGTTGAACAAAAATTAACTGTCTAAACAATAGAATTATAAATAATAATTGAACCAGACAAACAAACACTAATTTGATGAAAAAAAAAACAAAACAAAAATAAATTGTACGTGGGCAACATAATAATATGCGGGATGCTTTCTATGACATTAAACATGTTACTCGTTTGTTACTAATTCATACAGTCGTTTATAACTTATAGTACCTATTCATTGTTTTTTTTAATCGCATTTAAAATAACCACGATTTCTACTAAAATAAGCTCCAAGTGTTAGAAAATGCAAATCACATATTATACCTAGTTGCCACTTGTCGCATCCCGTCGTCGCGGTTGGTCTGGTCTAGTCCAAAAAAGTACCTAAATACAATCGTAATACAGTGTTATAATAATATTATATTATATTATATTCATTCATTCATTATATTCGTCTGTCACGGAAGGCGATCATCTAACCTCTCACCCCCTCCGCGTGTTTCAACCGAAAACAATGTGCGTAAAATAATTTTAAGAAATAAGAAATAACGCCCCGACTATATTAGTAAAGTTTTCGTGAAAGTTTAGCGTCTTTGGGTCTTAAGTTTTTCGGGCGGCCCTTACTATGCGCGTATATAAAGAAAAGCCGCTTTTTCTCAACAATGGCCCCCAGGCGGGAAATCCACTGGTACTGCCACGACCACCCCTACCACCGCCCTCACTACCCAAACGTCCCCGCTTATCTCCAGCCGCCACCCCGATAAACTTTTCACCCGGCGGCCTCCACGTCGTCGTCCTCGACCTCATCGTCGTCGTCGTCGTCGTCGTCGTCGTCGGCAGCGGTGGCGGTGGTGGCATATATACTTTTGTATTCTTCGAGCGCAGAGGGTCCGGGAACCCAGAGTTTAAAATTTAATAATAAATATGGCGGGAGCGCGGGTAACCGGGTTAATTTCCCTACCGCTACCCCTCACACCATCAACGCACACTGCACCGCCACTCCTCGATACCCCTGCACGTCTCCTATATCGTCGGCCCTTTGACTTTTTAATGATTAATCGACTTGGCACCATTGTGTGAGCCGTTGTGAAGTCTTGAAGAAAAACGCAAAAGAAGGAGAACGATAATGA